GCTGGAAACGTCCAAAGAACCAGTAATGTTGGCCTGCAGCTAAAAACTGTTCTGCTGTGGTTCAAATGTGCAGAAGCAGCTACTTCCTGGTCTGTTTCTTTCCGTGAAGAAGATCTGCAGTGAAGTTATGGATTTCATCTAATCTGTCAAATTTTAATAACCGTTTTCTTTCAAAGTCACAAAGCAAAATGGATACTTTTTTTTTCCCCCCCAGTATAAACAGACTATAAACCAGTATGTAAACTAATCCGATTACTGATGATGGACTTACTGGGTTTCTGACGATTTTGGGTGCGACCAACTGCCAGGCCGGGTGCTGGTTCGCACGAGGAGTGGGGCTGGAGGTGGTGCGCTCAGCTGGACTGGATCGGTCCCCACTGCTGGCTCTGGCAGCGTGCAGCCTGTCCTGTAGAGGTCAAAGGGCAGCGTGAATATTTAACAACGTTGTTAAAAATCAAACGCTCTTCATGGCAGAAATAAGTTGTCAAAATGTTTTTCTCTTTCGGCTGCTCCCTGCCTCGGGTTGTTGCAGCAAACTCACAAGTTGATTTGTTTTTACACCGGATGTCCGTCCTGACTCAACCACCGAGCCACCGTGCCACCACAGCCCTCTGTGTGGAGCAGAGAGCTGCTGTGTAGAGCGCCGGGAGCAGCAGAGGGACTTAGAGGCCTTGCTCAAGGGCCCAGAGTGGAGCTTTTGATTGTTTAATCTCTGCGTCATGCCCCCATCAAAAATATTTAATAATCTATAAAATGTTAATGTATTTTAACACGTCTCTTTTTTATAAATCCTGTGAAGTTCTGGTTCTACCTGATTGTCCAGGATCCGCTGGGTCACTCCCCCCACCACATCCTGCAGCGCCATGCTGTTCAGACTCCCACCTCTGGACAAACGGACCTCCTGAATGTACTTCATCAGGTCTGGCCTGAAAACACACGAACAGCTGATCAATCCGCCGGGCAGAAGCTGCAGCCCGAGCGTTTTCTGCTGGACTCGTACCTTTTACAGTCAGGGAACATGGCCGTCAGGCTCTCCATGGCCTTTTCAAACACAGAGCTGGAAGTTTTCTGATGCTTCACAGGAGCTTCAGCTGCAGGCGGAGCAGCGTGACCGACAGGTGGAGGCGGCGCAGCGCTGCAGGAAGCCTGAGGGGTGAACTCTCCGGCTCCCACCGACACCTGAAACAGAAAACAGATTTCTACATTATGGACGACAAACGCTGATAAAACGAACATCAAACACATCAGAACACTTTGAAGATTTGTCTAAAACAAACTGGAGACCAACACAAGCAACAAAAACATGAAGTTCTCTCTTAAACTTCTTTTCTAAACAGTTTACCAAAAATCTGCTTGAACTTTTATTAAATCCACACACATGGTTCTTGTTAAGACCAAGAAACAAACTTTGTAATAGTAATTCATCAGAAACTGTTTTCTTGACGTTCCGGTTCGGGATTAGAGCGACTTGTAGATCGACGAGCCGTTGGTTTTGTCAAGACGTCAAACATCAGCTCTTTAAACTCAAATCAAAAGTTAATTCATCTTCCTGAATCAAACCATGACGGCAGCTGGAAGTGGAACAGTCACGAACGTTCAGTCATGGTTCTCCTGAGACAAAGAACCGCTGGTTGAAGTGAACTTACTGCTGCAGCGTCCGTTCTGCTGCTGCTCGTCACCCGATCCAGCTCCTCCTGGAACCGTCGCTGCAGGAAAACAATCAAAAGTCACGGAGCTGATGGATGCAACTCTGATGATTCAGTCTCATCGATCTAAATTACATTTTACTCTGTGGTTTCCATTTCACATAAAATAATAGAAACAAGTTTGATTACACATTTCATTAGAGGAGAAAAGTTCAGCAAAGACTAGTTTCTGTTTTCATAAACACAAATAATAAAACAAGTGAAACTCTGAAACCTCGGCAACAGAAATATTCTTCTCCATTTCTTCGACTTTAGCTCTGCAGGTGTTCACCGTCTTCTCCAGGTGCTGGTTTGGGTTCCTGCAGGGGATCACAAACACAAAACCATCAGATCCAGTTCTCAGAAGTCGTTTTCAGAATCGAACACGCCTCGTGCACGGCGGACATGTTGAGCAGGAAGAATAAAGCCGTCGCGCTAACGAGGACGGGGGACTCTGCAGAAGTGGAATAAATCATGTGTTGGTGCAGCAGAACTACGTGGAAGATTTTTCACCACGTGAGCCAGTCGGAACCGTCTTACCTGCGTGCTGCCTCGTCCAGTTGGGTCAACAACGCCTTGGAGTCGGTCAGCTCTCTGTGGAGTCCGTACAAACTCTGATCCTTGGTGCTTTCCACGACTGACAGCTGGAGACACGAAACAAGGTTCAAGAAATCACAACGTTTCAAATTATTCCTCCTTTTCCGTCAAACATCCAGTTAACACCAGCGGTTAACTTTAAAGAGACTAAAGAACATTTTGGGCTTGTCCAGCTTCAAGAAAGTAAATATTCTTCAGGGGGTCTGCAACCTTTATGACCAAAAGAGCATTTTCTGCCCCTTCGTTCAGCAAATTAAACGTGTCCGGAGCCACAAAACCTGCTACAACTGGGATTCTCAACTGGTGGCCCGCAGACCACTTTGGTGCACTTTTCTGGCCAGTAGGGGCGACTTTAAAAAACTAAAATATCTTATTGATTTTTTTTAATTTACTGATATTTTTACATTTTAAGACAAAAATAAAAGAGAAGATTCTTGTAAAGGAGTAAAAATAATAATTTCTGCCCAATTTCTAAACAATAAACTGCAGACCCATGTGATTTTATGTCAACTGTAGAAAAATGACGTATTCTCCTTTGAAGGAATAAAGTGCAAACTGAAAGTGTTTTACTCCTTGTAATGTTTCTAGTATTCACATATTTTCAAAATAAATTACAGGAAAACGGCTCAAACTAGTCTTTTTAGTTAGAAGAACCAGTAAAATTCAGTTTGACGTCAGTTTTGGTCAAAGGTTGAACGAGCCGCTGCAGAGGGACCAAAGAGCCGCATGTGGCTCCAGAGCCGCAGGTTGCAGACCCCTGATGGGACTTACCCGAGCTGTGTGGGACCTTCTAGTGGCAGAGGCCAACAAGCTTCGGCAGCGTTTAATCTCATCCTCCAAACTCATCTTCTCAGCTGTTGACTGGTTACTGAAGAAACCAAAACAAAGTGAGGATTCGTTTTAAAAGCGTTTCAATAAATTCTGCACCTGTTTCCTGTTCAGTTTACCTCAGCTCCAAGAAATCAGTCAGCTGGGCTTCACAGCTGGTTTTCTTTTCTCTGATGTTCTGGGAGAGTCTGCGTACGAAGAGGAATAAAAGGCGTTTAAACGTTACGTTACCGAGACCATTCGAAGAACGAACTCGGTCTTACGTCGCTTGTTCCTTGAGCAGCTTCTCGGTCTCCTTCTTCAGGGCCTTCAGCTCCTCCTGGTTTGCCTTCTTCTCCTTCTTGTCCCCTTTCACCTCCTCCTCCAGCCTCTGCTGTAACTTCGTCACATCTTTAACGATCTCCTAGACGCACAACAAGTCGCTCAGGCTTCGTTCAGTATTGAAACTGCGTATGAATCTGGGTTAAACCAGATTTGGACCTACTTGTATATTTATAGTAACCGTCTTCAAGTCCTGATTGAGTAAATCCAAATCCTTTCTGTCATCGACTTTGACACCGTTTTTCATTTTCTTTATCATTTGCTCCAACTTGATGTTGTCCCTCTCCTTCATGGTGAGGTCACCCTAAAAACAGACACAGATGAAATGAAAGCGGCGGCCCGGTTCCCGTAGAGTCCATCGTGTACAGTATGGGGTTTAATCGCTGTAAAGTTAAAAACGGGGACGTGCAAAGCAGAAGCTCATTTTCTATTAAACTCTACCAAACCTGCCGTAGGACGCATCAGTTAAATGAATTTAGGTTAAGAAAAATAAATTCAGAAAAACAATATTTTAGGCAGCTCTGGTGCAGCATTTTGATTCGGACTAAAAAATAAATTAAAAAAAGCTAAACACTCGTCTTGCATTTTCTTAAACTGAAGCAAGACGATGTATTTTAGATATATACACACCGTATTTTCATGCGTATAAGTCGCATCAGTCAAAAAAAAAAAAATAGGATCACGAAGAGGAAAAAACATCTACAAGTCACGTTTATTACGAGTCACCGCTGACCCCCTGGAAACGTGGGCCGGTGTCGTGTCAAACAGTCGATTGGCGGCACGGCAGGACTCGCTGTTGCAGTTCTTCAAAATTTAACAAGATTAACACTTAAAAACAATTATTTGTTTGCTCAACATTATAGCAAAGGTATATCTCACTTTAACTTTTCCTTAATAAACACACTTTAATGGTCAATGTTTGACCAGGGGGTGGTGGGGGTAGCGGTACAGGAACAACATGTACATCTACCGGTAGTGGTCAAAAACCTAGAGGGCCCTCTTGCACCTCTAGCTGCTGCAAATGGTAATGTCCACTCTGGTTCATGTCAATGAACATTTAAAGCGTCAGTCAAAAAATGTGTTGTGAATATGGGGAAAAAAAAAGGACCATTTTTCAGCCTATAAGCCGCAGGTTTTTTTTGCATAATTTACATGCCCTGCGACATATCTTTGGATTTTCCCCCATACTCAGAAACCAATTTTTGGCTGAGATGTGACCGTTTTCATTCATCCTGACTGAAAAAATAAATACATTTTGAACAGAACCACTTTCAGCCGCATGAAGGCGGTGAGTAGTAGTAAAAGTAGGGCATGCTGTTGTATCATGTAATAGGTAAACGTGGCTATAATAACAAATTCAAAAAAGTTCAAGACAAAAACAACTGGACTTTATTAATTATACTTTTAATTTATACTTTAGTTTTTTTCTTGAACTTTTTTTAACTTATCATGTCCTGGATAACTGAGAATCTTCACCTGCTATTAATGACGCAATCAGCCTGCCATACTTTTCCACTTATGTTCTGCTCGCTGCTTGGAGCAACCATCAAACCAGCTGCACCGCCCCGGCAAAATGCAGCTAATTTGACCATAAAGTGCATTTATTAAGCAAATGTTAAGACTGAGACACACCTTTGCTATAATTTCGAGAAAACTAATTGTTTTTAAGTGTTAATCTTGTTAAAGTCCTCCCATGCACGCTCCCACGAACACCGGCCCACATTTCTGACTCGTCAGCGGTGATGCATAACAGATGCAACGTATACGGCGAAGCGACATTTATAGATTTTTCCACTTTTTTTTTTTTAGACAAATATGGACTGATGCGATTTATCGGGCAGTGCGACGTGTACGGCAGAAAATACGGTATATGTCGCTTCAACGTGCAAGTCACAGGAATGACAAATCTACAGAAAAAAACTGCGACTTATACGCCAGAAATTATGGTATTTTAGATATAAAATGTTTCTCCAGATGTGTTTAGCACCAACAGATGTTTCCCAGCTCCAATAAAAACATTAATTTGCAGGTTTTATTCCAGCTTTCATCCCTTCGGTTCAGATGCAGATCAGAACAAACCAAACTCACCTGGCGCCTCTCAAAACGCCCATAATGCTCTGTATTCACCGCCACGCAGCTCCTCTCTTCAGGACACGTCTGAGAAAACAAAGATCAAACTTCATCGTGGATTCAAGCACTTGCAGCCTTTAGTGAATTTAATTTAAAATTTAGTAACCTGCACTTCTGCATGTCTCTGGAAAAAGTTTTCATCCTTTGGCATAAAAACGGTTTTCTCTGACGTTGGATCGGCTTCCAAAACTGTAAAATGGGTGTCGAGGGCATCGACGGGCGATTCTTCATAAGGGTTGGGAATAACGTTTGAGTCAGTCCAGAGGGAGTAAGGGTCACTTCCTGACGACTGGGAGTAAAATAAATTAGGATTTGGGAGGACGGGAGTGTTTTCTGCGTGTGCAGAGGAGTAATTCTGCAGATAATTTGTGAAATGACTCGCTGTATACAGATCAGGGGACGAAGAGTTACGGTCAGTTATTTCGTCCAGGTCGTCCAGGCTCGCTCCGTGCGCGGCCTGCTGCAGGGAGACGGCGTGCTTGGCCAGGCCGATGCACCGCCCGATCTTAATGAAGCGAAGGGACTCCAACAGGAAGGCCTCGAAGCCGCCCGCTTCTTGGATCTTCCACCTGGCCATGGCAGGAAAATGCTGCATTTCTTCCACCAACAGAGGATCCTCTGCAACAAGGGGGCCGTGCTCCTCCAAGATCTGAGCAAAGTAGCTGCAGCAGAGAAACATTCAGTTTTTATTTGGGTTGACATGAGAACAATATGCTGCTCGTTTAGAAAAGACACTAATGTGGATAAGCATGGGTCATTTTCAGTCTAATGTTGCTTTGAACAGAAAGAAGCTTCTAGAGTCCATGACGGGGTCAAGTTTGCACTTTTGAGTCGTCAGAAAAGCAGAGACGGTCAAAACGTTGAAGCTTGAAACTTCGTCACTGGAAATTTGTTGCTAATCTTTCAAAGTCTTGTGTTTCTCACATCAAACCATTTTCAGAGATACAGTAATCCCTCGATAGTTCGCACGGTTCGACTTTCCCCGACTCGCTCTTTCGAGGTTTTTCAAAGTAAAATTGTACACAAGAAAACAAAAAATTACACGACACGAGATTGTCCACTTTAATATTACTCACATGACTGGAACAGTATGGGATGCTGTACTGTAAAAAGTTAACGGAAAATAAAACACAAGACAGGCGCCGCCATTTTGTAGTTTTCTCTCAATAAGCCTACACTATCGCCACTCATAAGGACTACATTTCCCAGAAGCCCCGTTGCCTTCTGGTGAAGTGGAAGAAGTTTAATCTGATTCAAAAAGTTTGGCCCTTATTCATAGTGACTTCAGCAGAGGATGCAGAACTGCACAGAACCGACAGGGAACCGGAGCAGAACCGGATCTCCAGACTAATCCGTGAATCCGAGTGCCGCCTGGAGATCCGGCGTCGTCTCTGGATTTGGGCTCGATTGGGACCACACTGGCCATCCAAAGTTCTGGTTCTCTACAAAAGCATTTTGGTGCTCAAGGGCTGCAGAGAGCCAACCAGAACCGGCAAGGTAGACCTGCCGGTCCGGAACCGATCCGCTGTTTCTGCAGAGCTGCCGAGTAAAATTTAGCAGTACATATACGCATGTTGTTAAAATGAGTAGGTTTAAGAGTTTAGAACATTGCAAGAGTGTGGGAAGAGTTTCTAAAGCCTTAAAAATATATATAAATACTAAAATATAACATCACTACTTCATGGATTTTAACTTATTAGGCGTCTGGAATGTACGGTAATTCAATTAAGAACGCATTCAGACATTTGTGTTCCGTTTCATCTGAGATCAGCTGCATTAACTGGATTTAATCTGGTTCAATGTGTTAGTGACTAAATTATAAAATGATTTCTAAACTAACTTTCCATGTGACGCGTCATCGTGTCGCATGAAGCAGCACAAGGTTCAGTTCATCGCTGGAAACTTGAGAGCTCCATTTTCTAATAAAGTGAAACAAGCGACTCGTCGCCGACGTGCCGTTTGGACTCACTCAAACAAACTTTCTTTGGTTGGATCAGAGTTGTTGTCTAGAATGTTTAGTAAGTGACTTTGTGTTCTGCTGTTGCTGTACTGGTTCTCAAAATCTGCCACTTGTTCTCGAAGGTGACTGGGTACACTGAACGGGTCATCGGGGGGAAGGAAGGATCTGCAGGAAGAAAATTAATTGTTAATGGAGTTTAAAGCAACAAACATAAAAATATGAACCTGCAGATACGTTTGCAAAAAATATATTTTGCACAACTTCGTTCACTTTTCGTGCTGCCTCTAACGCAGGGCTATTCAACTAAACTGCACATGGGGCCACAGTTACTGAAAGCAGAGAGCTCAGGGGCGGGACATCCAGCAGTTATTGTCATAAAGTTTGTTTTATGGTTTAAAATCGTTATTTAAAAATTAAACCATTTACGGGTCGAACTGAATTCACCCGCGGGCCTGATTTGGCCCCGGGGCCGCCAGTTGAATAGCCCTGATCCAAGCCATCAAAACAGAAACTCGAGGTTGCACTGTAATAAATCCACAAACTAGGGAATGAGACTTCTAAATTTTGTTTGACAGATTAATTAATAAAGTTTATGGTTTTAATCTCTAGGTTCGAGTCTCCAATGCAACATTTATGTGGAATATTATATGAGATAAACCATTGAACAAGTCAAAAACATTCATGGAACTTACAAAGAGTCATCTTCAAAATAGTCTTGATCAGTAACTCCTCTCATCCCAATTACACTCTACAAAGAAATAAACAAAAACAATAAATAAACCGATCACATTTAACGTTGTTTAAGAAGCAGAATCAGGTTCAACATTCTTACCTTTAAACATTTCTGCTTCTTTTTTCGGCCTCGACACTTAGCGCTCATAGAATTCTGAAGCAAAACAAGATTTGAACAAAACTTTAAAAATAAATAAATAACTCAGACATTGTTAGTAAAAATAAATAAATAACTCAGACATCGTTAGATAAAGAGCTAAAATGTGTTGTGGTAGTAGCCAAGGCTGATCCAACACTTATTAGAAGCTCTACAAGAACTTGGTTCATGTTTTCCATCAACTGTTTTCCATCAACTTTGTCTGTTAGCAAAACATCTAATCAACCACTGGACTGTTTAGAATTAAACTTTTCAGGAAGTTATCAATCTACAACTCATTTCTTTTTGAGCAACCAAATTCAAGATGGCCACTGAAGCCAAGTGACACAAGAGTGTTCATAATTCAGTCCCTTTAAGAGACGATGAGCTTGAGGTAGTAACAGAGTCGTCCTCAACGCTCCGAGTGCAACGTCTCGCAACAAAAGAAACAACTCCGTCGTTTCACAACGCAAGACCATTTTAGTGTAAACCTGGCCTGATTCTGATAAGAGAATACTAGGCCTTTAATTTAATTTAACAGTTTATTTGTTTGGCAATAACTCGTTGAAGTGTAAAATCAAGAGAAGAAAGTTAAATCACATAAAAACTTACATTCTCATTAGACTTTTTTAAGACCGAGCCATGTCCATCTGAGAAACAAAGCAGGAGAGTGACATCATTAGAACAAACCGTTTACAAACCCGATGTTGGACCGGGTCGAAACACGTACCCATCATATCAAAATATTCATCCAGTATAGCGTGACAAGAATCATATTCCTCTCTATACTCCTCTAAAGTCCAGATAAACAGCCTGGTGTCCTGAGTCGGAGCCTGCTTCAGGTATTCGGTGAAGGCCAAGCCGGTGCTTGAAAACAACTCTGGTATAGCGCTGAGCTTTTCTAAAATCATCTCCTTCAGTGGCTCAAAGTGCAGCAGGAGAGTCAGATCCTGCTGCTCCAGGTGTTCAGCGTAGCGATCAATGAAGGTCCGGGCAGCGTTCAGACCTGAAAGCAGGAAGCAGTCGGTCAGACTTGAAAGTCTGGTTGAAGGAACCCTGGATTTTGTTTTAGTTTAACGTGGAGCAGAAGATGAGCGCAGACCTGCATCGTTCAGCTGACACGCCCAGCTGCTGAGTTTGGGATTTATCTCCACACAGCTGCTAAGATGTTGGATTAAAACCCGACCCCAAACCCGGTTCTTCCTCTCCAGCAGCAGCTCCACAGCTTGACTCAAAGCCACCAGGGGCTCCTGTTCCCAGTTCAGCAGCCTCGCAGCGATCTGGTTCCCCCTGGACAAGTCCAGCTCCAGCCAGGGCTTCAGGCTGCTGGTGAGAGCAGTAACGTGGAGACACTTCTCCTCCCTCAGAAGATCCATGTTCTGGTTGATCTGCAGAAGAACTGGATCTCTGTACACCAACAAGGCTGACAGCACAAAGGAAACACAACAGGAAGTTTACAAATGTTTTGTTAAAAACAAAGTTTTGGAAAGCTTCGACACAGGAAGATAACTTTACGGATAATTTAAAGTCTTGGAAATGAGTTTTTCAAAACGTCCCTCAGATTCAGATATTTCATGTTTTTAGAAGTGCTACCTTTTTGTTGTCTTTGTGTTCCCGAGTCGTCTCTCTGCTGCAGAATCTCATCGTTGATGATCTGTGGATCTTGAAACAACTCTTTATACCGCTTGTTTTTGAGCTTCTGCTCCTCGTTTGATTTTAATTTCGTTGGACTATAAAAAAGAACAAAGAAACGCTGTTTGAAAACCTAATATTCGTTTAAAAACAATGACACAGCTCATACCTAAAATTACCTTCTAGCATTATAAAAAATAATAATAAATAACGGTAACAGTCGAAACCAAAGTCACAGCTGCTTGTTGCCAGGAGGTTTGAATGGAAACAAAGAATTATTGAGGTTTAACAATCAATCACCTGCTTTATTATTTTCAGTTAAAACTATTTCTCGTCAGATGGAAAACATAATTTGGGTAGTAACAGGTATGGAAGAGACATGATCCTAAATCCTTTACACTTCACGATGCAGGGGGAGGGCGCTCTGCATCATGAAGGACTCCACTCATCCTGCACAGTCTGTTCCAGCCCCTCCCCTCAAGCAGGAGGCTGAGGAGCATTGTTAGGCTTCTTGATCTGCGACCTGAGTCTGAATTTCGTACCATAAACATGCAAACATGAGCTGGTATGACAATAAAAAAAGTCCTTGAATATAAGATTTTAACAGAATTCTTGAGGGAAAAAAGCTTTAGCCACAAACCTCATCTGACTGGTCTCTCCTGTTTGATTTCTTAATCTTAAAACCAAATAATTGGGCCTCAACCACGACCCAACTAATTAAAAAATGGAACATTTGCTACGTGTTCAGATTCTTCAAGTCGATATAGTCATAAAGAGAAATGAAATAAACTTATCTCTAGGCCTGTCACGATAACTAATTTTGCTGGGTGATTAATTGGCTCAGAAATTATTGCAATTAATAATATTGTTTGAAAGAAGTGGTAAATTTTTGTGTGTAGTACCTTTTTTGACCACTAGATGGCAGGATAAGACTGATTGAACCAAAGGATGGATAGTGAGAGAGCGAGCGGTTTCTCGAAGAAAAATGGGAGGGAGGGACAGCCCATGTCACGTCAAGTGAAATGGGCTGTCTCTCTTTTTTCAGTTCTCAAAATGGCGGATGCTCTGTGTGCTTTGAGCTCTTTAGCATAGCATTTTTCACACAAAGCTTTTAATTAAAAAAAAAAAAAAAATCAGTAAACAAGTTCTCAGCTTCTTTTTGCAGAGAAAAAACGTTTTGCACGAAGGCACGGGTTTCAACCGTGAATTTTCGAGCTTCAACAAGACTGAAATTTTTTCCCCCCCGAGGTCAGCCTGTTAGCTTAGCTCGTAGCTTAGCTTCTCAACTTAGCAGCTTGTAACGATCCAAAAACACGATTTTGACCGGTTAAAACAAATTTTAAAGAGAAAAAAGAAAGGGAGGAGTCAGTGAAGAGCACCGGAGTTGAGCCTGTTATCATCCAGTGTCTTCGGTAGAAAGAGAGAAACGAAGAAATGATAAAGCTGATAAATGAAATCGATAATTTTCATTTATCATGCGATTCATTGATTTATTGTTTATCGCGACAGACCTACTTATCTCAATATAATTTATCGGAACAGTTTACTAAAGTTATTTTTGTCTTCCTTTTCCAAATGTCTACTCCCGAACCTAAAACAAATTTACACGTTTCAAATTTTATTTTTTCAGCTCCAGTGCTGATAAATTATTGTGAATGCTGCATTTTGTTGTGAATAAATGCACAACAGAGACTCTTCCTCTCAGCACGTAGCTGCAGAGGCTGCAGGGGAAACAGATGCACTGAGTTCTAGATGGTTTCATGCCTACTTCTGGTTCGTTGAGCTACACTTGGTCTAAACGGTGCTCTGGTGAACCTGCTCTGCAGTCATCCACACATTACGTGTTGCGCTAACAACATAAAATACTATTAAAATGTATCAACAACAGTTAAACTGGAAATAGATTATAATATTGAAGCATGTGGTGCCAGATTTTACACATGCACATAAATAACTGTTAAAAGGTCAAACTCAGCAGGTTTGCAGGCAGTTTTTAACCCAACAAGAATTTTCTTTGTTTATTCTTGCGTCGCATCTTCACTAAAACCCGTCGACGCCGTCTCACCTTGCACATTTCTGAATCACTTTTGGCTTCTTTGGCATCGGGGTTTTAGTGATGGCAGCTTCAAACTGAAAAGACAAAAACTCGAGTCATTACAAATATCCTGTCTTTCACCTTTAACGTTCATGTACAGGTTTACCCTACCTTACATTTCACCAAACCGGTCGGACAAAAGATTTTGATAGCACAGATTTTGCCTATGCAGTCGGGAGTCACACATGTTTCATGGAGGATGTCCTGTGAGGATACGCGACACAAATAAAATCATGTTGGTGTTAAAGACTGAAAACACGGCGGCCTTTACAGACATGGAAACTGACTAAAACAGACCTTTTCACTTTTCTCCAAGAACCTGGTTGTCTTTAGACTCTTCCAGCAGTTGATGTGAAATTCCACCCTGCAGCTCTGACAGCAGCCCATCTGAACGTAGCCCTGCGACAAAACAAGAGTGCACGTTGGAAAACTCATGGAGGCGGACAAGAATTTAAACTGAAAACATCCAAACCTGCTGCCTTTACCTTAAAATCTGGGTCGGTTAAGAAGATTTCAGTTTTCAAAGGGCACAGACATTTTTCCAGGCGACAAACGGCATCAGGAGGAGGAGGAAATTTACACAACTCTATAGAACGCTCCAAAATGTCCTTAAAAAAAGAACACACAATCATCATCAAAGGTAACCTGAAACTCAATAGCTTCATGATAAAAAATAAAAAAAGTTTAATACTTTGACAGTCAGTGTTTAAATATGAAACCTCTGAAGAAGAAAATGTACTTAAATTATTGTTTTTCTAAAACTCTGGAAAACTAGATCTCTATAAATTTTCAAAGATGGTACATTATTGGAAAATAATATACATTTTGGCTCAAATAATGAATGGATGTACAAAACTAGAGAAAACAAAAGAGTAGAAAGAGTTCTCCACACAGATGTGGGGCCAACTACCCAGTTTAATGCTCAGTTTCAGCTCAGATAAAAAGATACTAAAATAAATGTACAACAAGATCAAGAATGACAGAGTTAATGCTCAATCATCCAGGTGCAAAATCCAATAATGGTCAATCAGCATCTGTACAGTTTATTTTTGTGGAAAGACGTTTCGCCCTCTATCCAGAAGGCTTCATCAGTCTGAGGAGTCCCAAGTAAATCGTTTTCCCCACTAAGCTGTACTCCTTTAGTGGACCAACCATTTAGTGGTGATGAGATGTTTTCTGATGAAGCCCTCTGGATAGAGGGCGAAACGTCTTAACACAAAAAAGAAACTGTCCAGGTGACCTGGTTGACAATTATTGGGTCAAGAATGAGGTTTCCACTCAACGCCCGTTACGTTTGGGCTGAAAACACTTTTCAAGAACAACAGTGGGAAATTTAAAGTTGCAACTTTTGGGTTTTGTTCTTCTTCTTCCTGCTGCACTTTTCTGCAGGAGACGCCACGACGAGTGAACTTGAAGTTTTTTTTGTCTTAATTTGATCAGACAGGTGCCGTTCAAGGTTTTGTTTAGTTTTTTCTCTCTACAGATTTTGTTTAGGGTGAGCTGAACAGAACTTTGTTTTGGAGTCAGACTATTTTCTTCAAGACTAAAAGCATTAAAGTAAAGAATGTTCATTTTGATAATTTCAGTAGTTCGTTTTTATATTTCAAAGAAATGCCTTTAATAAACTCTATGGTACATTGTTATGGAAAACAGATAAAACTGAGATGTTTTTAAAATCGGTGTAACAAGAGTTTTCCTGGGTCACAGTTCAGTGTTGCGTCATGCTGCTCATGAAGTGATAAAGTCTATTGATTACGACAAGACGTGTGGCATCTATAGACTTTGGTCAAATGCGCTCTGACAATCTGAGGTTATTCTACCACTCGATCAGTCTCTGCAAGTTCTGCTTCACATTTCTTTTGTAATAAATAATAATACTGCCAAGAGTACATATAACGCCCGTTAGTGAATAAGTGTAATTAAAATCCAAAGCACAAATTTCCTTACACACCAAATCCTGAATTTATGAGACCATTATCTACATGACTGTGGCAGGGTCAAAGGTCAAATCCACTGATGACATCATCCATGGTGTAAACCAACAAACGGTTCAATTAAAGAACACAAAACTGCAGCTATCAGCTAAAGACTAGGTTTTAACAAAAGACATCTTGACCTTTGACCCTGAACTCAACAGGGACCATCCTTGACCCTGGGGGGTGTCTGGCTGTGCAGTTTTGACTTTTCTGTTAAAGTTAACACCTGTCATACAACAGGTGATAAAAATTAAATCGTAAACAGGTCATCAACAGGTCTTATGTTTTGACATACAAGATTAATAAAATAAGACAAAAAAAAAGTGCATTTCCTGACCCTTTTGTCGTTTTGGCTCAGTAAGTGAACAAACATCGAAACAATAGAGCTTAGGGTGTGCCAACAAAGGTGGAGCTACCTTGAAATATTCAGGTTGCGTTTCTTTGACAACCTCTTTAGTTAAAGGCCACGTGAGTTTCCCCGGAGTTATCTGAGTCTTCACCATCTGTAAAGAATCTAAAAACGGCTGCAGAGCCATCGCAAACCTGCGCAAAGAAAAGACACACGGATGATTTACAAACAGCAGAAATATGACGGGGCCTAAAAATACTCTGCGGTGGACTCGTCTGTACCTGTTCTCTCTGAGAAACAACCTGCCGGCGGCGTAGAAAACAAGACACTGAAACGTCCGCTCCTCGTAGCATCTCATCTTATTCAGGAGATTCTCTGTTTCTGCGAGTTCCTACATTTTGAGGAAGACAAATGTAAAAGCAGAAAAGGAAAATCTTTAAAGTGCACAAGGTAGTTTCAAAACGTAGCCATTTTAGCTCTGCTTGAGCATTAATTTGAGCTTCTGAAGCCACAACCAACTTAAAACCTTTAACACCACCACAAGCACTGTAGTTTTTTGGAAATAATTAATTGGTTGACTTCTTAAATGATTCGACTTCTCATGTTGTAACACTTCCTAAATCTAATCCTGCTGCTTTAAGACGAGTACCACATACGATGACTATACAGCAACAATTTGCTGTGTTTGGTGCCAAACTGAAGTAATGATACAAACTTTACTCGGTTAAAACACAAACCAGAATAAACGGTGTCTTGAAAAAGTACTTGTACCCTCATTTTATAACTAAACCCCATTTAAACTTCAACAACTTTATCCCCAATTTGTCCGGCGTGTTCCTTGGTCTTCAAAATGCTGTTTAATCAGTAATGCTCTGTAACAAACTGAGGTCTTCACAAAACAGCTGTGTTCATACAGAGATGAGATTACACAGGTTGACTAACAAATAGCCAACTGGTTACACTGGATTTTAGTTACAGGGGCTGAATACAAATGCACGCCACACTGATGGGATTTTTATTTGCACACATTTTAAAAGCAATTAATTTTTTTTTTTTTCCACAATGTGCTACTTCCTTTGCACTGGTCTGACAAACTCTCAGTAAAATGTTTGACGTGACATAACTTTGAAAAGTTCTAGCGGGATGAGTACTTCAAGGCCCTGTGAGTCCAGTTTCTGTTGCCTCCGTTACCTCTGGCTGTCCGATGTCTGTCAAAGCTGAAACTCGTCCAAACAGTAACAGCAGCTCATCCAACGTGGACAGTCCCAGTTCCTGACAAAGTAAAACAATTGCGCACGAGTCACAAACTTAACTTAACAAAAACGTTAAAAAGATCTTTAGAGAAGGTTTAAAATTGTGGACACGTTTCTTGCAGGAGCAAACGACATCGGAGACCTGATTTATTTCTAGACAAGATTTGGGAAGTTTCTGTGTCAGTACTTAAAAAACTGTGGATGGTGACAGGATATGCACATCACTTCCAACTAAATCCAGAACACGAGCAAACGACACCGCTGCTGTGTAAACAGAGGTGCAACTTGAAACATGCCTGATGTTCAGACAGCTGTTGGACTAAACGTTTTTCCACCAGCCATCAAAAGTCCAACAACTGATAACCATTTACCGTATTTTTTGGCATACAAGTTGCAGATTTTTTTGGGTATAATTTGCATGCCCTGCGACTTATAGGCTGAAACAACGCATCTATGGTTTTTTTTCTCCATATTTATAAACTAATTTTTGGCTGAGATATGACCTTTTTAACCAATTATCAGTGACGCTCGATCACCTAGATCGGAAGAGCGTCACTGGTTGTTGTGGACGCTCGATCACCC